TAATCATTTTTAAAAATCTGTAATATCTTGAAATAAAGACTTGTATTCTATGGAGGTCGTATTGCCATTTATTCTGCTCCCCAGCCAAAAATGCTCCCAGAGCTCTTTCTATTACATTAATAAAAGCAAACTCATATGCTTATACTATAAAAAATATGACACAAAAAAGCAGAGAGAAAAGGAAAGGCAAAAGTCTTAGCACCACTGGACACTTCTGGCATACAACAGATGTCATCTCCACACCACTGATTTTCTGTGGCTCCAGGCAGTGAACCTCAATGTCCCTCCACTCAAACATTCAGAAGAAAACCAGGTGGGCTACTGAAAGAAAAATGGAGTGAGGGAGCAAACCCTGGAACCAGGTCTCAAGGTTACAGTTCTTAGCTGTTTGGTCTTAAAACACACTTAACAGTACCATGGTTTACTGAACCCAACTTTCTGAGCTATAATGGTGCACTGAAGCATGAATGTATGGGTGGGGTGGTACAACACGCTGGGCTAAAATGTGTTGGCAAATTTGTGGTTCAGTCTGTCATGGGAATGTCATGGCAGGTGACAGTCAATCTGGGTCCAGAAATTATGTGGGGTTGGGCCACCAGGAAATTTCAAACCTGCTGGAAGAAGTCAGCGGAAAACAGCTTCTTGAAAACCTGAACAGATGTTTCTGGGCAGACTTCAGAAGTCCAGTTTGACTCGAGGGAGGCTTGATTTTATTTTCTGGCATTGGAACCCAGCCCTTGTTTCCTTCTTGGAGTTGGTTCAGACAGAGACCAGGGTCACCATGGACGAAGCCCTTTAAAATGCATGATTATGCTTGGCCAGAAGAGAAAATGAAAACCTCCAGGATGGCCTTTTCATCTCCAAGCCACTTCTGTGTCTTTTGGACTGAGGACAAAGTATCTCTTTCTTTAAGTATACCTAAGTATTAACTATGGATTAGTATTATTATGAAGTTAACTACTGTTTGCCTGTGATATGTATATGTGTGTTTAATTATTTAATTCCCTTATAAATTGATTTAATTCCCTTATAAATGTCAGTGTCTATTGTGCTGGAAAATAGCATAGGAAGCACAAAGGAGGGATAGGTTAAATTTTGGTGAAAGCATGTGATTCAATGGAGGATGAGGAGGAAAGCATAATCGGTGGAGTTTAAAACTGGTAAGAGCTATTTTTTCACAGCACAAGATAATTCTCCATTTGCACCTTGCTGCCATCTAATGGCCAATAAAATCCTATCCTTCTGAGAAAGTGCGCTCAAATGAAATTGAAGGCAGGATCCAGAGTCACAGCATCTGCTACTGCAATAGCCAGAGAAGGGTAAA